GAAGCCTCTACGCATACTACTCTTGGAACACCACCTGCATTGTACGCAATACTACAGACAAAGGTAATGGAAAGTGGAAAGACTGTCACAGTTTTCTGTGATAATGGTTCAAATGCAACATATATTACTCAYCAAGCTGCCGGAAGGATTAAAGCCAAAAAATTGAATCGGATTACACTCGATGTGACCACAATGGGAAACGATGAAAAAACCTATGACACTAAGGAGTACAAATTCACAATCGTTACTAACTCTGGTAAAAAATTCCCTATTATTGCTTACGGCATGGACAAAATAACGGGTCCAGTAAGCACATTGAACACGCAAGCCTTGACYAAGTTGTTTCCGGAGTATGATCCAGAATCTTTACAAAGGAAGTCAACCCACGTAGACATTCTCCTTGGATGTGATTATTAYGGCTTGCATCCAAAGCATGAAGARGCCAGATACGGCGACAACTTAAGTATTATGAGTGGCGAACTCGGAATTTGTCTRCAAGGAACACACCCTGACCTAATGGAGTCAACTGTGTACGACTCCAATCTAGTCAAGACTATCCATGATACAAAGTTACATGCTGATGTCAATCTCGTTCGCCTTRATGTACATCCACAAATCCATCTTCAGCCGCRAGATTTATCCATCGACGAAAACCACCAAGCTAATTGCAACCTCCAATTGCRATCCCCATACTGTAAGAAAACAGAAGTTCAAGTGAATGGATTCATTCAAGGAGAGGAACTTGGCACGGAAGTTAATCCGCGTTGYGGAGGTTGCCGATGTAATAAATGCCCTACAGTGGGGCATACCTACTCTTTCAAAGAAGAGCAGGAACTTAAGATGATTCAGGAAAACCTTGTGTATGACGAGTTMAATCAATGTTGGAAGACCAGCTATCCATGGCTGGTGGATCCAGCTTCGTTGCCTAATAACTATGACATTGCGTTGGCTACACTGAGAAACACTGAACGTACTCTCAAGAAGGATCTACATTGGGCGGAAACCTATGACAATCAGATGAAAGACATGGTGGAGCGTAACGTTGCACGCAAGTTGACAAAAGAGGAGCTTCAACAGTGGTCTGGTCCAGTGTATTACATTTCACATCTGGCGGTGCTAAATCCCAAGTCCAACTCAACACCTGTCCGTATTGTGTTCAATTCAAGCCAAGTCTGTCACGGAAGGTCTCTTAATTCATGTCTAGCTAAAGGACCTGACTGCTACTTGAACAATCTTCTTGGAATATTGTTGCGTTGGAGGGAAGGACACACAGCTCTTGTAGGAGATATTAGGGTTAGGGTTAGTTATTAGATGTTCAACTCCATTCATCTGGACCATCTAGAACAACACTGTCATCGTTTCTTGTGGCGGGACTTAAACTCTGATCGAGATCCAGATGTATATGTGATGACACGTGTCAMCATGGGAGACACCCCTGCACCGGCGATAAGCACAGAAGCCGTGTACAAAACAGCTGAACTTTTCCAGAAAGATAGTCCACGAGCAGCCGATCTACTTAAGAAGTCCACTTACGTTGATGACCTGATTGACTCCTGTTTAAATAAAGCTGAAGCTGTTAACCTCGCTCGAGAAGTGGAAACAATGCTAAAGAAAGGCGGTTTTAAAGTGAAATGTTGGCAACTGAGTGGTGAACCTACCCCCCGCATTGGTAAATTACAGCTTACTGAAACCRAATCTACCAAGTCTGARGACACKGAGGAAAACACAGCGYCTCAAGACAAGCATAAGATGTTAAAAGGCACAGATGAGAATGTGAAAGTCCTCGGCATAGGCTGGGAACCACAGTCTGACGTTCTGGTTTATGAAGTTACACTKAACTTTAGCAAGAAGAGAAAGGGGGTTCGGTCTGAACCAAACTTGACTGAATCAGATCTACCTAAAGCTATTCCTGTCATMCTTACACGTAGRATAGTGTTAGCKCAGCTGATGGCATTGTACGATCCGCTGGGATTGGTTTGTCCCTTTACCTTAATTGGTAAGCTGTACCTGAGAGAAACATGGTCAAGGAGGCTTGRATGGGACGACCCACTGCCTGATGACCTACATRCAAAGTGGAAACAGTTCTTTACTACCTTATTCCAACTTGAGCGTCTCAAGCTGCCTAGATGTCTGAAGCCTGAAGATGCTACTGGTAATCCCTGGCTAGTACTCTTAAGTGATGGAAGCGACCTTGCTTATGGCTTTGCTGCTTACATCAGATGGCAGTTGCTCAGCGGCGGTCACTGGTGCAGACTTATCATGGCCAAGTGTCGCATTGCACCAGTTAACAAGTTGTCAACCCCACAAATGGAGTTGAATGCTGCAGTGCTCTCGAAGAGAGGCAGGAAGATCATCGAGAAGGAGATGAGATTTAGCTTTGAAAGAGTCTTGCAGATAGTTGATTCTGAGACAGTCTTGAACATGATTAACAAAACAAGCACNATAATTCTTTGCTGACTTAGGAACAAAGCATGGAGATGCCATGATGTAAGTTTTGCAATATTTTTTTCATATTTTGTAAGTTTTCAAAACATTTAACCGCACTGTAATAGCTTAAATTGTTATTGTATTGTAGGTTTTACCTTTTTGTGTATAACTTTTGACATAAAGCGAGTTTGACAACATTTTTGTGCCTGTTCATGTCAGCCCACGGCATACTCGCCGCAATCGAGTACAAGTAATTCCTACTTTTCCAGATGATGATCCTCTGAAGTTCGGCTTGGTCTACATTTGTTATCTCCATTGCCAAGAACCATCAGCATTAGTTAATTTTGTTTTTTCACGATGAATACTTTTAATACTTACATTATCACTTCAATTCAGTTATTAAAAACGTGATCCTATTACAAAAACATGTAAATAACGACTTTTGTTTAAGTTAGTATAAAACCGGCAATACGTATTAATAAACACGTGACCTGTCACATGACACAATTATGTGTACTTACCTTGTATTTAGACATGATGAAAAAAGGTAGTTTGCTATTCGTATAAATCTTCCTTACTAAATAATCAGCGTTTTTGAGACGAATGTGCTGTTTGAGGAAAATGATGTACATTCGAACAACTCGAAATTTTAGGTTAAGATTTAATGGAAACTTCGTCAGTATATCAATTATGTTATTAAGAAATGATTCTGAAAATTTTATTACAATCTCTGCGACGAGTTTCGAGAAAATTAATTTTGAATAAAAATGTAGTTGTTTTTATTTTGCATCGTTTATCCAAATGGCTTCGCTTTTTAGCAAATTAATTTATCAAMAAGAATTATCGATAATCAYTGTGACTTCTGTGAAAGTTTGAGTGCAATTGAATCGAAATTTGCGACGTAGTTGGAGTTTAAAAATACGCGCGAAACGCTATTTATTACGATCGAAACACCATAAGCTTACTTGCAACTTATCATGGTGTCTCAAAATATGTGCGGGATAAATATAGTAGTCCGGCCCGTGAACAGTTCACTTCCAACTGGCTTTCTCCTCTGTAGCTAGATTTTAAGCTTCATTCTTTAGCTGATAAGCCGTACAACTTTAATAAAGTTAACTTTATCTTAAGCATTGTAGCGGAGCTTCTATAAGAACCTGTTTTCTTCAACCGAGACTGATGATGAAATTAAAGATTCTTTTTTGGATAGCCTGGAGCGCAAGCTTTCGGCTGAATCTGGTTTCTCTTGTGAGGGTCTTCTCAAGACTGATGAGTGTCTTGCCTCCCTCAAAGGAATGGCAGCCAACAAGACCCCTGGCGTGGACGGGCTCCCTAAGGAGTTCTATGTCACCTTTTGGGAGACCCTGGGACAAGACCTTGTTTATGTGCTCAATCACTCTTTTCACTGTGGACTCCTGTCACACTCTCAGAGGACTGCACTTATCACTATCATTCATAAGAAAGGTCCTCGCCACCTCTGTCAGAACTATAGGCCAATCTCTCTACTCTGTACCGACTACAAGATTGAATCAAGGGCCATTCACAGGAAAAAATTCTGGAAAACCAGACTGGTTTTTAGCTGGCTTTTATCTGTTTTCTTTGAAATCCATGCTGGTAAAAATTATCCAAACCTGGTTAATACCTGGTTTTTATAATAACAGACACAAATAGCCACGCAACAACCATTCCTGGTTTTCTGGAATTCCATTCTGAATATGGAATACATAGAAAACATCCCTGGATAACCTGGTAACCACATCTGGTTCATTGAAAATACCAAACCTGGATTATAAAAATCCAGGAAAACAGAGAACCAGATCTGGAATTTTTAAAAACCAAACATGCATTGTTCCAAATGCCAAGTCTGGATATTGTAAAATCCAATTTAAGAAATAACCAGATTTGGTTTACATGGTTACCAAGTCTGGCTTATTTCAAATGCCAAGTCTGGATATTGTAAAATCCAATTAAAGAAATAACCAAATCTGGATTACCTGGTAACCAAGTCTGGATTATTTCAAATGCCAAGTCTGGATATTGTAAAATCCAATTTAAGAAATAACCAAATCTGGTTTACATGGTTACCAAGTCTGGATTGTTTCAAATACCAAGTCTGGATATTGTAAAATCCAATTTAAGAAATAACCAAATCTGGTTTACATGGTTACCAAGTCTGGATTGTTTCAAATACCAAGTCTGGATATTGTAAAATCCAATTTAAGAAATAACCAAATCTGGTTTACATGGTTACCAAGTCTGGATTGTTTCAAAT